GAGGCAAGTACGTACAGTATTTGCATGCCCAATGGGCAATGATCCCATGTGTTGCCCCACAGACTGCTGGCTAAAGTTAGCGCGTTAATGCGTGTGCAGCGCGCACACACGGGGTGGCGTGGTTAGGACCGTGCACGCCAGGCCACCTTTGTCTCCCCACCACGAGGCACGCACGTTGTGCAGACGCAAACAACCTAGTGGGGTACCAGGGACAGGTTCAGGCAGCAGTGGCGACTGGGGGTAATGGGCACCCGGGACAGGTTCAGGCAGCAGTGGCGACTGGGGGTAATGGGCACCTGGGACAGGTTCAGGCAGCAGTGGCGACTGGGGGTAATGGGCACCCGGGACAGGTTCAGGCAGCAGTGGCGACTGGGGGTAATGGGCACCTGAGACAGGTTCAGGCAGCAGTGGCGACTGGGGGTAATGGGCACCAGGGACAGGTGCAGGCATCAGTGGCGACTGGGGGTAATGGGCACCTGGGACAGGTTCAGGCAGCAGTGGCGACTGGGGGTAATGTGCATCGTGGCCAGGTATCAAACTCGGGGCGGCTGGAAATATTTGGCGTGGTGCCGTGATCCGCTGACGCCGCAATCGAAACCACAGATTGGGACCCGAGGATCTTGGCGATGTTGGCTGATTGCTCTGACGTGGCCACTGTGAACTGCCCAGCCGCCTGCACAGAGGTCTGGGCACCCTCTTGATGTAGGGACAACAGGAGCTGTGGCTGGGGAAAACGCCTCTAGGTTGGCTCAGTCTAAAATGAGTACCTGGTGTCATGGCGAGTCACTATCAGCACCGCGAAGGCGCCACGGTGGTGAGATGTGAACTACCTCACCTCTTATACAGGAAGTTGTGGGTTCAATCATGACCTTGACGCATGTATATTTGGAGTTTGCATGTTCTCCCCGTGGTTGTGTGGAATTGTCTCCACACCACGCGTTCGGAGTATTTGTCTACTGCTATAAATGTCCACGTGATGATAAGCCCACTTTGTTGAGCTATCATTTATGTTCGACAGCTCGCTTTTGGAAAAGAGCTACACAGCTCCATGGGGCCTTACTTGGTTAAAATAAAAATAAAAAAATTTTTTATTTTAGAATGCGGTTGGATAGGCCTCGGTAGATGCTCGTGAACAGAAACGTGCCTGGACAGTCGGTCCAGCGACGAACAGAAACGTGCCTGGACAGTCGGTCCAGCGATGAACGCAATGCACACGCGTTGTTGCAGTCACCGCCTGCGCCGTGCGTGCGTGCGGAGGACAGACTGCACGGGAGATGGCTTTGGCACCTACAGCAATATAACAGAGGGGGCATTAATCCAATCATTCCATTATCAAGGTCAACAACAAACACCACTTGAATCTCAGAGCTGAAAGCAATTTACAGCCAACCTTTGAATGGCGATTTTCTTGTCAGAGAATTTCCTAACCTTCTCGTTCCCTCTCCGCCGCTCTCTCTCTCTCCGCTGCTGCTCACCGTTTCCCCGCACAATTGGGACACTGCACAGATTTATATTTTGTTTCTGTGCCGAGGATTCCCATTGGTAAATTTATTGTTTTTCTTAATTAGGCTCCGCTCTTAGTCATAATTACCAAAATAATTATCGTTATAACGATTTCAGCCCTTTGCCAATCCACTTCTGGATGTGGGTCTCACTCTGTCGGTCATAGGAGTTGTTTGACCATACTTCACCACGCTGGTCAGTTCGGGTTGGTGAAGGTGAGGGCTCAAGGCTGGTCCACACAGCACCTGCCGCTGATGTTAGCCATGGCGGAGAATCCAAGTTACTTCGCCACGCGTCACCGCTTCTCCCAATAATAATCAAAGTAAAATTCAGAGTCCTACATCTCCCTGTTCAGATGAGTGTGGGGCCGCTCACCTCCCTGTGCTATATTGCGACAGAACGTTCCACTGTGCTCTCAACTGCGCCGCTATGCCGCCCAAAGACATCCGCAGTGCCGCTCGATTCTCACGACTGTACCGCGCTCTCCGGATTATGAGATGCTCGAGAAAGGTCACACGCACCTCAAACTGGTGCCTGGTGTCCATTGAGTTACACAAATCTGGTCTCACTCACACACCACAACACGCACACACAGCACACGTTATCAGTCTCCTGCTGTCCCAGCGTCTCCCGTTCTAAATTTTGATTTAAAGCTTTCGTGACTGCAGTAATTCATATTCTTAGCTCTTTCGGTAAAGTCACGTCGAAAGGAAACAACAAAATAATAAAATATATATGCAAACCGACACACCTGATGACGACCGTTTGTGTTATGGTCGAAACGTCGTGAGAATTTTTATTGTTTTATATATATTTTATTATTTTGTTGTTTCCCTTCAACGTGACTTTACCGAAAGAGCTAAGAATGTCTCCCGTTCTGTTATTGGCCTCTTGCTGTCCCAGCGTCTCCCGTTCTGTTATTGGTCTCCTGCTGTCCCAGGGTCTCCCGTTCTGTTATTGGTCTCCTGTTGTCCCAGGGTCTCCCGTTCTGTTATTGGTCTCCTGCTGTCCCAGCGTCTCCCGTTCTGTTATTGGTCTCCTGTTGTCCCAGGGTCTCCCGTTCTGTTATTGGTCTCCTGCTGTCCCAGCGTCTCCCGTTCTGTTATTGGTCTCCTGTTGTCCCAGGGTCTCCCGTTCTGTTATTGGTCTCCTGTTGTCCCAGGGTCTCCCGTTCTGTTATTGGTCTCCTGCTGTCCCAGCGTCTCCCGTTCTGTTATTGGTCTCCTGTTGTCCCAGGGTCTCCCGTTCTGTTATTGGTCTCCCGCTGCCCCAGCGTCTCCCGGTCCGACATCGGCCTCTGCGCTAATTTTACAGTTGAGAGGGATCCATTTTGTGTCGGGCTTTGCCCCGTGACTCTTAGCACGGAGGGTGATGACCATCCGTGTTTTACTCCGCTTGAATTAAACCGCTTGATCCCAACAGATGTCACGTTACCTTAATGAGTATCTTAAACAAGGGTTCATGTAATTAAAGCTAAGAACATAATTAACATGCTTTCGAGATGTGCTTTATAATTATTTATTTACTTTAAGGAACCGGTTCATCACTTCGGTTGTGTACCTGGTTGTGTACCCAGTTGTGTACCTGGTTGTGTACTTGGTTGTGTACCTGCTTGTGTACCTGCTTGTGTACCTGGTTGTGTACCTGGCTGTGTACCTGGCTGTGTACCCGGTTGTGTACTTGGTTGTGTGCCCGGTTGTGTACCTGGTTATGTACCTGGCTGTGTACCCGGTTGTGTACCCAGTTGTGTACCAGGTTGTGTAACTGATTGTGTACCTGGTTGTGTACCCGGTTGTGTACTTGGTTGTGTGCCCGGTTGTGTACCTGGTTGTGTACCTGGTTGTGTACCTGGTTGTGTACCTGGTTGTGTACCCGGTTGTGTACCTGGTTGTGTACCCGGCGCTTTCTTCATCGTTGGCGCCGTCGCCACTTTGATCCTGTGGCCTCTTTTTTGTCTCTCTCCCGCAAGAGATCTCTCACGTCGCGTGCACATTCTCTCGCGACGGCACCAGTTAGCAGTGGCCTACTCTGTCTTCTAATTTCGCGGAGTCTTTTCTCGACCACAAGTTAACAGATGGCCAACAACGGCGTCCGTGGAACTTTGAGTTTCATTAAAAACTAAACTTTAAACTAAACTATTTTCGATTTAAAGCTTTCGTGACTGCAGGGATTCATCTTCTTGGTTCTTTCGGTAAAGTCACGTAGAATGGAAATATTATGTTTTATTTTTATTATTTTATTTCCATTCTACGTGACTTTACCGAAAAAACCAAGAAGATCAACTATTTTCATTTCGCCAGGTGAGCCCCACTGAGCTACATAGCTCTTTTTTAGAAGCGACCTGGCCACAAATGACAGATCAACGAAGTGTGGAAATTGATATCAGCGGACAAATCATCTAAACGCACGTTTCTACATGTGGAGGGAAAAAGCACGTGACCACGAGGAGAGAGAACACGCAAACTCCAAATATACAGCAGCAGCAGGCGTCAGGGTCGAGAGATCGAACCCACGACCTCCCGCGTACCAGGCGAGGTCGTTAACATCTCGGCACCGCCGCACCCCGAGGCGATAATTCCGGGCGATGCGACCGAACGTTTACAAGGGCCAACTCGGCTCTCGGCACGGTGGGCCCACGATGAGCCCACGACCAGATCTCCCGGAATCCGCCTCCATCTCGTCAGATCCCGCAGGCTCAGGCGAGGTTCGAACCTGCAGACTATGTGGACACGTGACCACAAGGTTGCTACAGGGCAGCAAACGCCTTTGTGCCTGTGCTGCTGCCCGAGTATTGGCCAAGCCACCGCGACCAGCGTGGTGAAGTATGGTCCAAACAAGCCCCATGGCCCGCACCAAGTGTGGGCGCTCTCATCCAGCAGTGGATTGTAGAAAGTAGTCAGTTGGTGTTCCTGTGCCGTGCCATAGGAATGTGGCATTTCCATTGCTGGCTCAGAACTGGAAAAAGAGTGTGGGAACATTTAACTTTGTACCAATGTGCAGCTATGACCGGCCTATTGACACATCATGCGGCTAAATTATGGTTGGGGTACTTTTTATTTATTTTTAGCATTGGTGGACTGACCTGTAATTAGCTTTTCATTATTACTCCACGTGGGTAAACATTTGCGAAGTGGAAAAATAATTCATCTTTTTTTCTTCCATCTGCCGCAGTAATGTGGACAGCTGTTTTCTAAGTCAAGGCACACTTCATAACAATCCTCTGTGCCAAGTTTGGACATTTCTGAGAAATCTGCACAGTATAAATAGATTGATTTAATTTGCTATTATGAATCGGGACAGTCTGCAATCCCTGAGAATTGGCAGCAGCAGCAGCATATGCTTGTATTTGTCACCATCCATCATCAGCGATGATAAACGCGGCGTTTCGCATGCAACCGCACGAAGCATCTTCAGGACAGCACCCAGGAAGCGAGAAGTGTCCCGTAATGAATGGGTGTCGTCTCTTCCCCCGTGGCGCGCGCGTGTGCGCGTGACAGGCGGGTACATCAGCTTCAGCGAGCGAGCGTGGCGCGTGCAGGGTGTCCTCACGGCCTCGCGCTCGCTGGGCGACCCGGGCCTCAAGGCCTCGCGGGTCGTCATCGCCGAGCCCGACGTCGTCACCCGAGAGACGATCCCCGACCCCGTCGAGTCCGCGACCGGCGTCTCCGCCAGCGCGGACGCCGGAGGAGCTCGCGCCGCCGGATCCCCGGGCCTCTTCGGGGAACCCGGCGGCGGCTTCCTGCTGCTCGGCTCCAACGAGCTGTGGAGCGGCGTCTCCCCGGACGAGGCCTGCGCCCTCGTGAGCGAGCGGCTGCTCGACCCGGGCATGGGGGCGCGGGAGCTGGCCCTGCGAGCGTTCCACCGCAGGGGCGGCCCCGACGCGCCCATCGCCGTCATGGTCGTCAAACCGCCCCTCGGGGCCCACTGATGACCCCCCCACCCCCCCCGCTCAATGCGTGCGTGCGCGTGTGTGCGAAGGCGCTGGATAACGACGCTTGCCCCGACGGTCTGCTGAGGCTACGACGGCGATCTTTGTCTTTGTGCGCACGGCGGCGTAGTGTCCAGCACGCTGCGCTACGAACCCGGCGATCTGTGTTCGATTTTCTGGCCCACGACCGGTTCTGTGAAATCAGTGATATCCTAGGCGATCTGCTCTCGGTCGACTCAGCCTAAAATTAATTATTGCTGCAGTCTTTAAATGTCAGCACTAGGCAGACTAAGGTGGCCGGGCGTGGTGCTACCCCTTCGGGCGCTGTGCCAGCCTTAGCACGTGCTCCCTAACAACATTTGCCCAACAGCTTGTAAAAGCCTCTGCGGGGGATCTTTATCTGTGTGTTTGTTGGCACGGCAGGGAGTGTGGGTAGGCCATGTGACACTCACTGTGTTGGCTTAACCCAACTACAGTCCCTGTGACCCACCATGATATGCGTTTCCACGTTCACCAGTCTTCTCTCATCACACATCTACGAATAGCCAATAATGCTTCATTACGTCCCACGTGACGTCCAGAGTGCTGATTTTAGTTACAGCTCGTGTGTGTGTACTGTGTGGGGGAGCGGTGGTGCAGTGGTTAGCGCTACGCTGCGCTACAAATGCGGCGACCCAAGTTCAATTCCCGGTCACGGCCAACAACAGTGACGATTATTTGAACCGGTCTTGGGCCTACCCCTGGGTCAACAACTCAGCCTCAAATAAGTACCTGGTGACGTTTAAACATCACCACTAAAGAGACAAAGGCAGCCGTGCGTGGTGCTGACTACCCACCCCCTCCGTGTGCCATTCCGGCCAACCGTCTGTTCAGTATCCGCTCACTCGTAGAGAGAGAATGACTCGAGTGTGAGGAGCCGCAGACGAGCAGGAAGGCAGCCATGCAATAAGTCGGTGCCAACAACTGCCCAAGCTCTGCGATCCTCTATATGAACGTATTGGCGGTACACCGGTGGTGCGCGGTATAAAACAAAACAAAAAGCAGATTTTTCCCATATTGCGCTGTGGTGGTGGTGATGGTGGTGGTGGTGGTGATAGTGGTGGTGGTGGTGATGGTGGTGGTGATGGTGGTGGTGATGGTGGTGCGTCAAAATCAGTTCTCGTGATGTCGAAGCAGTCGGAAGACGAATGTCGTTAAAATGTAGATTTTAGAACTGTTGTTATGAGGACCCCGGTGTGCTATGCTGCACCGGTGTACACAGGCCAATACGTTCAATGAATGAGTGCTAGAGGAGCAACCGTGCATTTGTTTGGTTACACCATAGCACGTGGAAGGGTCCCCACTCAAGCGACTTTCATTCAAATAGTTGAACCTGTAAAAGTGGATAATGATGAGTAACAAAGACTGACGTTTGGAAAACGCTTCGTTAACCCATTACACCTGAGCCCACTGGAATCGTCTTCCCTTGTATATCATGCAGCAGTCACCCTCCTGCACCTCCTTCCCTTCATCTCTTAAAGCCTCAACCTCTTCAAGCCTCACCTCTTAAAGCCTCACCACTTCCCTACCGCCCGGTATCTTCATCTTCCCTCCCCTTGCCCATTCCACTCCTTCCCGTTCCCCTCCCCCCTCTCCCGATCCCCAAGTGCCCCTTCCATCGCGGTCGCCCATTCCTCAATCGCCGTACGCCCCTGCCATCGAAATCATTCTATCCTGTCACCGTGTTGCAAGCGATGTCAAGCGCCTTGACTTGAAGGCGCCCGATGGACGTTCGATTACGTTCGATTAGATGACCCGGCCGCGTAGAGCGTTGGGGCCCCTGCGTCCGCACGGGTTTCATATTTCTGCCCGGCCGGAAATCTCACCTGAAAAATCCAGGTGAGGTGAGAAGCGAGATCGTCCGCGTGAGAAACCGGGCTTCCGCCTGGATCTGTAGCCGAGCTCGCGTTGTGTCGAGAGACATCGACACGGAGTGAGGGGGGGGGGGGGGCTGAGTAAGGTGGCAGAGGGGTAGCCGACTCGAGTTGGCCTACGTACACAAGTTCTGTGGCTTCATGGATACTTTGTAGTCGTGGTGGATGGCGGTTGTTATTTGTCGCCGTTGCTGTTGTTTGCGTGTTATGCCAGTGCATTATTATTTGTACGTGTTGAAGTTGACGGTTCGCCGTGGAGTGTCCGCCGTGATTCGCAAGTAGCAGTCGCGTCTGGCTGCGTTGTGGCACGAAGCACAACTCCCAAATCGCACGGCTCGCGAGCTCAAATCCCAGTCGGGGTCAAGTCGGGGTCAAGTCGGTTCATTCGTCCCTCTGACGTTTGAAAAAAATTCAATACCGTTAAGTGAAAAGTCGTAAGCTAGCCCTCGTCATGGGAATGTGGAATATCCACCACCGGCTCAGAGCAAACAACATAAACGAGTACTGCCACCGCAGCGTTTTTTCTGAGCAATGAAAGCCCTTTTTGACATTTTTTGACCGATGAACATTCGCCATCACTGTGACGCTCCGTAATTTGTTCGCGGTTGTCCTGTGGAGCGCTCCGATCTGTTCCCGCCCCCCCCCCCCCCCCCGTCGTTTGGCACAACGTCCGACGTTTCAGCTGCCCGTGCCGGGAGCCTCTCCAGGAATGCGCCGGGAGCTTTCTTTGGTTCGGGCGCACGGAAACAAAACGTCGGACATCGTTTGCCGCAGCAGCACGCGGTACCGTCCAAGCCAACAGCTCGCCACAGGGGAGGGTCGGCCGTAGTTTCACAGTAACGACGTCTCTATTTTTAGACGCGGGCAGCTTTTGTAAATGTTTAAACATGCGTTTCCGTATAATTATTATTTAGTTTAACACGTAGGCTTTCGCGACCAATATTATTCATAATATAGGTTTTTGGGTTAGATCGCGTTATTTATAAATGTGTCGTAACCCTCCACCACCCGACACGGCCAATCAGCAAAAAAGTGTCACGTTGACAATAGACAAATAGTTCACTACTTTAGCCCACCGGTGTGTTGAAGAGTGAATCCACAACATTTACAGTTTGAGTACGACGTTTCGCTGGTAATTACATCCAGCATCATCGGGAAATTCTGGCGGTGGGCTAAAGTAGTGAACTATTTGTCTTTTGTCAACGTGACACTTTTTTGCTGATTGGCCGTGTCGGGTGGTGGAGGGTTACGACACATATAAAAAATAACGCGATTTAACCCAAAAACCTATATTATGAATCATGATTTAGTTATGTTTCTTTTAAAATGTAACTTTTCTTCCTTGTGGAAGGTCCATTGAAGAAAAAAAAAGGTAATTCACGCGATGTACACAGATGGGTGCTTTTCATTGCAACGGCTGAGTACTTCATCAAGTTTACACACTACATTGGATCCCCTTGTTTATTATCCGGCATGCACGACATGAATGGCCATTACTCCCACAATACACTCACTAGCAAAGGCCTTCACTTTATTTTAAACATGACTTTTATTTATTCCGTAAAAAAACCTCTAATTTTCCTAGAATTGCGATTGCGGATTCTAGCTGCTCCAACTTTACTTATTTTCCATTCGTCATGTTGATTAATATCCGTGGGCGAGTTCACTGGACTGTATTATGCCAAAAAATGTCACAGTAATGTTGTATAGGAATTAGTTCTCTGATTTTTTTAGAGACCGTTAATATTATGATTGAGTTTAATAGTGTTGAGATTATTGTCATTTTAACAAGTAGGCTTTCGCGACCAATATCATCCATAAGAGAGGTTTTTTGGCTTAGATCGCGTAAAAATATATAAATGTTGTGTCGTTAAAACCCACCACCACCCGACACAGCCAATCTGAGTACTCAGATTGTAAATGTTGTGTATTTGCTCTCCAACACACCGGCGTGCTGTACTAGTGACGAATTGGCCACGTTCTGTTTACGTGACAACCCTTACTAGTTGGCTGTGTCGGGTGGTGGTGGGTTTAACGACACAACATTTATATATTTACGCGATCTAACCCACAAACCTCTATGATGGATGTATTGTTGTTGCTGTCTGTCTGTTTGTATGCACGTATTAACTTGCCCGTGTGTGTGTGTTGAGTGTGTGTGTATGTTGAGTGTGTGTGTGTAGTAGAGTGTGTGTGTATGTAGAGTGTGTGTGTTGAGTGTGTGTGTATGTAGAGTGTGTATGTGTAGAGTGTGTGTATGTATTAACTTGCCCGTGTGTGTGTTGGTTCGTGCCCATGTGTGTATGTCAGTTGTGCATACGCGTCTGTGATTACTGGTTTCTGTGTGTGCGTGCATTGCTTTGTGTATATTTGTGTTTGTGTGTAAATTGGTCCATATGTGTGCGCACTTCTGTGAGTGTGCACTAGTTTGTGCTTGTATCTGTGCTTATGCGTGTGCTGGTTTGAGAGACGATGTATGTTTGTGTATGTATGTATGTGTGTCTATTGTTGCGTTATTTCTTTTGTTAGGTATGCGCAAGGGATATTTGTGCCCCCTGCACACCACACGCAGGACACATCTCTCGCTATTGCTAGGGGCCACTGGTCACGTGGCGCCCACTCCAGTCCACCGGCGACCCGGAGAACTTTCATTAAAAATGAATCCCTGTGTGTGTATGTAGAGTGCGTGTATGTAGTGTGTGTGTATGTATGTAGAGTGTGTGTATGTAGAGTGTATGTAGTGTGTGTGTATGTAGAGTGTGTATGTAGAGCGTGTGTACGTAGAGTGTGTGTGTGTAGAGTGTGTGTATGTAGTGTGTGTATGTAGAGTGTGTGTATGCAGAGTGTGTGTGTATGTAGAGTGTGTGTATGTAGTGTGTGTGAATGGAGAGTGTGTGTGTAGTGTGTGGGGAGCGGCGGTGTAGTGGTTAGCGCGTTGCGCTACGAACCCGGGGACCCAACATCGATTCCCACTCACGGCCAACACCGGGTGACGATGATCTGAACTGGTCCTGGGCCTCCTTGAGGTCGACTCGGCCTCAAATGAGTAGCTGGTGTGGTGTGTAAACATCACCAATGGGAAGACAAAGGCGGCCGGATGTGTTGTTGTCCACCCATCCCCTCGTGTGCCATGCCGGCCTTCATAGGTGCTCACTGACAGCACTTCCCCCCCTGTTACAGGCTATGCGGGGGATCTTTGTCATTGTTTTGTTCACTTGTGTACGTGTCATTACCTGTACATATATATAGAGAGAGGGTATAGAGAGCCGTGTAGTACACTCAACGTTGGCTGTGCACACCTTTTGCGACTACGTGCGACGTTACTGTTTGGGGATGTTTGGAGGTCTTCCTCGCAGCTCCGTGAGCCCTGTCGCCTGCTCCTCCTCGGCGTGCCCTCGTGACATCAATCAAAGGCCTCTTCCTCTCTCTCGCCGTTGTGCAGGGGCTATTGTCAGGCAGGTGCTGCCTCCTTTGATGATGATTTAATTTGACGATGCTGATTATTACAGATCTCCATCCAGCAGAAGATAGCGAATGGATAATGATGGTGGTGATCTATCGACCTGATGGTACACTGACATTGGCAGATGTGAATCAGCAGCAGATGGAAAAATTCTGCTGATGGTGATTGTGCTGATGATTATGATGGTGGTGATGATGAGGACCTAAATTCAGCCGGGTCCGTCCGGGTCAGCATACCTGCAAATAGTTCCACACCCGGCATACCACATCGAGTACACCTGTCGCTATGGCAGTGAGTACTCGTCACGTGCCTACTTCCGGGTATGCAAACGATCCGGATATTCAGTGA